AGCAACTGAATGGCAGCTCACAGCCATCTGTAAATCTAGTTCCAGAAAATCTCATTCCCTTTTCTGGCCTCCATGGGTACTGCACACTTGTAGGGTACATACATGCATTCAGGCAAATCACATGCCTGGTATCTTAAGATATCAGAAGAGGGCAACAGATCCCCTAGAACTGGAGTTATGGATGGTTGGGAGCCACCATGTGGGTGTTGGGTACCTGGAGCCAGGTCCTTGGCAAGAGCAACCAGTGTTCTTAACAGTGAGCTATCTCTCTAACTCCAATGCACACATATACATATTTATGTACTAATCTTAGAAAGGTAATGATTGAATACCATTTCCTGTCGATTAAGGGAATTTTTTCAGTCGACAGAATTAATTTTTTTTTTTTTGAGACAGGGTTTCTCTGTGGTTTTGGACTTTGGAGTCTGTCCTAGAACTAGCTCTGTAGACCAGGCTGGTCTCGAACTCACAGAGATCCGCCTGCCTCTGCCTCCCAAGTGCTGGGATTAAAGGCGTGTGCCACCATCGCCCAGCTCAGAATTAATTTTTTATAGCACAAATCAATGCATTTTTACAATACATGTATAAAGAAGGATTCTAGATTGTCCCTGGTTGATTTAGACTAAATTTGTAGACAAACTTGATCAAACTTTGTTTTCAGGGCTTCCTATATTTCAGAATTGTGGGCAGATCACTATAGACTTTAAGAGGAGAACATTGCCAGTACTGAAGTATTAAGATACGATGATCGTTTGGCTCTGTTTGGGTTTTGTGCCCCAATCTTAGCCCACACAATCTTAGAGATGAGCATCACCAGGCCAGGACACAAGGGGATAGCCACAAATGCCAGAAAGGAAGTCGAGTTAACCAGAAGCAGAAAGCTACAGGAAGTCCTTGGAGAGGAAGCCCAGCAAAGACAGAGAGGTGATGAGAGGCCAGGAACACTTGGAGGAAGGTCTTGCTGAAAGGGACGAACGTGAACACGGTTGATGGAGCAGCCCTGGGAGTCACGGTTGATGGAGCAGCCCTGGGAGTCAGGATGGGATGTGGCAGGGTCGGAGGGAGCAGAGAAACAGAGGGGTGGAACAGGAGGGCTGAGAAGCACAGACATGGAAAACCAGAAAGATTTCAGAAGGAGACCAGACAGGAAGCGGAGAGCTTAGCGGGACTGTAGCCATGATAGGAAGAGGGGGACAAAGGCGAGCAGAGGCACATACACAGGAAGTGAACCCACGAAGCAGTGTCTTCCTCAAACACCAAACAGTGGCCGTGCCTCTGCTGTAGACAGCAGGATGCGACCATCTCCCTTCCTCGCTCCTCCTCGGCCTCGAGCAAGCAGTGTTCTGCATTTCAGGAGAGTCTCTTAACCTCCGCATCGGAGCATGTGCCGCATTTTTCTACCTGTGTGGAAGGAAGGTGCTCACACACTCCAAGCCCGAGGTGATGTGAAAGCCAGGGAAATTCAAATTATCCTGCGTTGATTGGCGCACCCAGGACTCCTCACCCTGAGTCCTGCTGATGGGCACAATCAATCCATGTCAGCAAAAAGCAAAAGGCCTTTGAAGGCAGTGGCTGTAAAGAAACGAAAAGTATGTGCGTATGCGCTTGTTCTTCTTTGCACACCACAGCCTGGGCACAGCCAGATACAACCCAGGATCCCCTCCCCCCACACAAATGGCTACAAGGTTGACAAGCCAAGGGAAAAGATGAAGTAAAAAACGAAAGCGAAGAGCAAAACACAGCAAAATCAGAATATTCCTACTTAGGAGTAGGAGAGAAGGGAGCAGGCATTCACCAGGGACAGGCAAGGGGCCAAGGCAGCGGGCAGAAGGGCCAGAGAAGAAAGGAAGGCTAGAATTCTATCGGTTATCATTTAACCATTTTAACGACCCTTTCTTTCACAACATGGCTAATTTCCAGACTGCAGTTTCTGTCTAGTGTTAACCCTTCAAACGCCCACTTATTGTGCATATGCAAAACCAGCGTTTTTGGGAGGACATTTTATACGAAGACCCTCCGAGGTCCCCTGCCCTGGAAGCATAGCCACGGGAGATGAATACGCTGTAAATTAAACACACACACACACCAACAACAACATTTTGTTTGTTTCCGCATAATTCTCCCCATACCTCCACTAGTATTTCTTGTGTAAAACAAACATTGATTTTGCTTAATTAGCAAGTTACACATTTACTGAGTAAGTAAAACACGACGTTTGGTGGTGCTGGCTCATTCTAAAAGCCACGTGCCTTTATTTTTACATTACTACTTTACCCCCAAGTAATTCGTTATTGGTTGAAGTTTACTTGAGACAGCATATTTCAAGATTTAAAACGCATCAGGTTTTTTTTTTTTTTTTTCTTTTCCCCCAGCATCAGCTCGCTTGCAGCGTCCCAGTTTCGTGTCTTGGATTCAGGTGGAAGGTGTTTTGAAAGTTTTTGCGGCAGCTGGCGACGCTTCTTTCCTGTGAGGGGGCACCTGTGGCGGAGCCTGCCCACCCAGCACCGCTGGAGGTTACACAGCTGAGAAGGCTTTGGCGTTGGCGTCCCAGGCTACCCATTCCAAGCAGGTCCTATTTTTTGCCTCAAGCAGAGAAATTTATTTTTCTATTAAAGGCGAGAAAGAATTTCAAGAGGACTGGCTTGAAGTACGATTGATTTTCACAGCTAGGCACAGCATGGGTGCAATTGTGTGAAATTAAAACGTAGTTGGAGCCGCTTTTCTGCAGTTTCAGGTAGAGAACCCATGGTTTGGAAGGCACCCTCGAGGCTTAGCTGCAGATTGGCCACGAGGGGGCGCTCAAACACTGCTCACCGCGAAGTGCCCGCCAGGGCTCCGCTTTGCGTTAAGATCACATTTAGAGAAGAGCAGGCAATGATTTGAGGACGTTGCAGTTGGTAGTTATCAAGTAGGATTCTCCGAACTTGACACTTTAATTTTCCTCAGAGGCGCACTGTTTGAGCTTGTAAGACTGTCCCTATTCATTCATTAAGATTCCTTTTTAAGATGGTTTGGGGCCAGTTAACAAACATCCTGAGTGAATTAATTAGTGATAAAGCGACATCACGATAGATGCCTGGAGGTTGCCGGCCAAGACAACCTAAGTTGCTGGTTAAGACAGAAAACATAATTTACTCTGAGCACTCGAGTGACCGCGGCCCGACGAGAAAACAATCCTGCAGCTTGAACTGTTCAAAAAGGGATCGCAATTTTAACTTAGGAAAACAATTTTTATTCTGAGAAAAATACAAAAATGAAAAACAAAAACAAAAACAAAACCCTCTGTTTGGTTGTGGCAAAGAGACTTGCTGTTTTAGCTGTCAAGAATTGAATGAGGAAATGCAAGAGCCGTAGCAATTCTTAAATAAATAATTGCAGTTTCCTAAGATGCCAGCATCGAGCACACGATGCACTCTGAAGCTACTCGCTGTAAATATAAAGGTTTGAGATGAGGTGAAGTAATGCGAGCTTGGAAAACAACATTTATCAGAGAATTGTAATTAATCAATAAACATTTACTAGGTTTGCGGTATAAATCTAAAATTAGGCCCTCAGGGAAAAAAAAATCCCAAATGATCTGCTTTAAATTTCTTCTCCCCCTCACCAACTTTTCAGAGCCGATTGCTATCGTAAACCATTAGCTGTAACGTTAGAGCGATGTGGGGGTCGTGGGGGTCGGGAAGGTTAGCGCAAGCACACTCCAGAGCCCCAAGATGAGGAGGCGGGTGATCCTCTGGGCATCCAGGGCTCTTGAAAGAGCACAAGGACCTTCTTTTTACTCTTCCATTCTTAAGCATCCTCCAAAACTGAGGGTAAGGAATGGAGACAGAACGCAGACTTATGAATTAAGATCTTCAACCAAATCAGACTCCTGTTTCTAAAGCCGTGGTTTTCTGAAAGATGAGTTTACCGTTTCTCCTTAGAGAACAGATTTCCAAGTAACGTCCAAAACTGGGCTGCATACACCTGTACAGCACACATCGCGCTAGGGTCTTTGACAGATAATTTGAAACAAAGTTCTGGTGTCACTGCTAATTCCAAACAAGATTTAAATATTTAAAAACCTTTTGGTGGTTGTTCTTAAATGCTGCAGTCTGTGCTTGGAAATGAAGTCTGTCAGTGCTCTTAAGCAGAACGTTTTACTTAAAGATGAAAACCATTCACTCGGAACCTGTCTAAACAAACTGAGTAGTTATAAAAAGGATTTTTTTCAAAAGCTAATTATAATTTCAAAATCTAATATTTATTCTTGAAAGTTTTAAAGAAAAACTATGAATTAACTGAACACATTTAGAAGCAAAGTAACAACGAGCTCACATACCACGGAGTAGATGTTAAATTGTGGCAAAATGAGATTTTTCACCTTAACTTGAAGCAGTTTAGCAGTTTATAGCTATAAAAGCGAGAAAGTTACCGACTGGAAGCAGACCATTCTACCCAAGCTTTCCAAACCTCAGAGCAGATAAGAGAGGGATATAAAAATATCCAGTTTATAGTTAATAACTGTTCTCCATAGGTAAACTAGAGAGCCTGGCTTTTTTGGATTTGCATGTGGTTTGCAGTTCTTAGTTTAAATGGACAGAAGCAAATAAATATACAAAAAAAAAAAAACCCAAACAAACAGAAAAAACCCAGCCGCTAACAATTGATGACATGCATTTTATAGCCATATTTCAACAGGTTGGATTTCTACAGACCCGTCTTTCAGTTACGAATCTCCCCTGCTCTCAGAAGGAAATACTAAAGTACATTTTTCTTTGCTATAATTGCTATGTCCACATTGATATTTAAAACACAGCTCATCTTTAGTTCTAACAACATGAAAAGTCGGGTTTCTGGGGGGAGGCATGTTGCATTTGGAAACTGCACTTAGTGATCATTTCTGGGGGATCCACCCTGGGGTGTCTATTTTTCAAACCCTGCATTGAGGCTGTTGTAAACATCCCAGAACTACAGACCGGTTTTCTAATCTTGGGGAATTGGGGAAACAGCAGCCTTACCTTTGACCTCCGTCAGGGCGATGACATGAAGTAGAAGCCACATTGCCATCAATCTGAGCTAGACAGGTGTCCAGTAGCGGAGGAGAGACCTGCAGGTTCGCAGCAGTTGCGTTCTTAGACGTGTCCTCCTTGCTCCTCGGAAGGAGTTCTGCTAGAGCCTGGTGCCTCCCATGCGTCTGAGCATGCTCAGCTGAAACTTCCCTGGCATGAAGGGACATGGTCGCTTGTCACTAGGGAACCTGCTCTTTTTTTCTTCTTCTTTCTGTCCTTACAGTTTGTTTGTTTCACTTTCTTTTAAACGTCCCGTTTGTTCCTGACCATTGCATTCATTCTGGGATAAGAGGGGCCATGGAAATAGCGCCTTAGCCTTACTAGATGTGCGATGTTTTAATAGCTTCATGGTTTTCCTCGAAGCACCTGGAACAACTCGCGCCCATCCTTCACCTATACATACGTAGCATCTCAAGGCGTAAAAGAATATAGATCTACCAAGAACGCAGTGGGAGCTCTTTAGACGCAGTTTTCACGCAAGATGCAAATGAGAAAAAAGCTCCTCGCTAACACATACGTGAAGGACACTAGGGACCATAATGAGCATATTCAGACAGCAAGGGTTTGAAGTGTGGGCTCGTGTTCAGCAGCTGAAATAGTCACCTAATACTTTAAATTTTGCTTAGACTCCTCATAACCGCAGTCGAGTTTTAAAGCACAGAGCACCCCGCTTGCACTCGATCCTGGATCGCGCACCTTCTCGAAGCCACTGTGGTTTCTTTCTCACTCACACCCCAAGGCAGCTTTTTAAACAGTCGGCTTCTTGTGAGCTTCGGTAGGGACTTCAATTGATTCGACTGTAATCCTAAAGAGTGTCCCAGGAAGACAAGCGGGATTTCCTTGGCAAATATGGATTCTTTATTTTTTCACTAACTGGGGAAGGGCTGTCCTGTGGGTTAGAGCAGGGCTGGGCAGGATGGGAGCCCCACTTGCTGCCGGCAGGGGGAGCCGGCCTCACGCTCTCCTTCCAGCCTTTGATAGACTAAGGATCCAAACAGAATTTGAGATACAAAATATTTTATTTATCACATAATGAAGTCAGCTCTTGTGCCTTTTAAGAAGTGGGCTAAAAATTCCTGTCGACACTCTTGCGATGCGTTGAGATCCAGGCTCGTCTGATTTTCAAACGAAAGGAAAGAGCAGCAGAGAATGAAACATGAGAAGAAATACGGGAAGGGTTTCTCCTGTTTGAAGAAACCTTCCCCTGCTGTTCGCTGAACTTGAGGTCTTTTAAGATAAAACAAGAACAAAACAAAAATGAAAACAACAACAAAAACCTCTGTCACTTAAAAAAAAAAAAAAAAAAAAAAAACCTCCCACGGTGCTGCTCAGATAACCTTGTGAGCTGCCAGGATGAGGGACACTGAGATTCAGTTGTTAAAATGTCAAGTGTAAATTTTAAAATGCAATTAAATTACCGTTAACTGGCCGCCACAAGGCTGTTTGAAGTGTAAGTATATTCTCCAAAAAAGGATCTTTGGGGGAAAGAAAAAGGTATCTAGACTTCAAAGATTTTAGTTTAGAATTCTGCATTAACGCTAAACCCGAGCTTAATATTAACTGAATTTGCAAAAGCCAGATCCTCTGTATCAGGGCTGCTCAGAGTTAATCTTTGAAATGTTAACCCAGGATGACCCAGAATGCAGTAATTATAAATAATAATTAAGAACACCTTCAGCTCATTACTGATGTTTGAAGGCAGAAACCTTGAGCCTGTGAGCAGCTTTGTAGTCGATGCATTTTATCTCTGATGGGTCGTGGGTGCATGACCTGCAGCTGGAGAGGCTGAAAGGCACACAGGGATATGATAGATGTGTGCAAGCAGGGGTGAATGAACCCAGTTTCTCCTTAAAGGTATACTCTGCAAGGCGGTTCCAGAGGGGTGCTTCGTGCAGGGCTAGAATGGAAGACTTGGCAAATGGCTTCAGAGAGGCACACAAGTGCCTTGATGAGCCGTACTCATTTCTCCCATTACCATCTCCTGTCAGGAGTGACTTTTGATCAGAATATTGCAAATATAAGTATGTGATGTGTTATCCAGTGCGATTCAACGAGGTTCTGGCTAATTGAGGGGAGTTGGTGTGCTGAAACTTTAGGGGCCTAGTTCTCTCTGGATAAGGGGTGCAGACTGCCATTCTCTCTGGATAAGGGGTGTAGGTTTCCAGTCTCTCTGGCTAAGGGGTTCAAACTGCCGGCCTCTCTGGATAAGGGGTGAAGGCTGCCGGCTTCTCTGGATAAGGGGTGAAGGCTGCTGGTCTCTGCTGCAGTAACCTTTATATACACTCTAGAGATCACTGTGAATATAAGATTCAATCCTTTCTTTGAGAGCATTTTACCAACCAGACAAATGCGCTGTACTGTGACATTTGCATACCAGCAAACACTGTCTTTTTGTCACCTTTCCCACCCTTCATGATCCTTTCCGTTCTTCTCACTTTCGATCCACTTAACATCAGCTCCTCCCAGACGCATCTCCCTTCTCTACTTAGAGCCCAATGTTGTTCTCTCTCTCTCTCTCTCTCTCTCTCTCTCTCTCTCTCTCTCTCTCTGTTCTTTTTCGAGACAGGGTGACAGGGTTTCTCTGTGTAGCCCTGACTGTCTTGGAATTTTCTCTGTAGACCAGGCTGCCTCAAACTCAGAAATTCACCTGCCTCTGTCTCCCAAGTGCTGGAATTATAAAGGCATGCACCACCACCGCTTGGTTTTCTTTTCGTTTTTAAACCCATCAAGTCCACTTTGTGCTGTTGTGTACCCTTGGGTGTGTGGCGGTCTTAGTTAAGATTTCTATTGTTGCAACAAAACACTGTGTCATAAAGCAAGCTGGGGTGGAAAGAGTTTATTAGGCTTATAGGTCCACATTGCTGTTTGTGGTGGTTTGAATAAAATGGCCCCCATAGGCCCATAGCGAGTGGTACTGTCAGAAGGTGTGGCCTTGTTGGAGAAAGTATGTCACTAGGGGTGGGCTTTGAGGTTTCAGATGCTCAATCCAGGCCCAGTGTCACTTCCTCTTCCTGCTGTATGCCATTCTGGATATAGAACTCTCAGCTCCCTCTGCAGCACTATGTCTGCCTGTATGCCACCTTGTTTCTCACTATGAAATAATGTACTCACCCTCTGAACTGTAAGCCAGCCCCAGTTATATGGGCTCCTTTGTAAGAGTTGATGTGATCATGCTGTCTCTTCCCAGCAATGAAACACCAACTAAGACACTGTTCATCATCAAAGAAAGTCAGGACAGGAACCCAAATAGGGCAGGAACCTGGAGACAGGAGCTGATACAGAGGCCATGGAGGGGTGCTGCTTACTGGCTTGTGCAGCCTGCTTTCTTATAGAACCCAGGACCACCTTCCCACAGATGGCACCACCCACAGTGCACTGGGTCTTCCCCCATTCGTCACTGATTAAGAAAATCCATATATCTGGATTTTATGGAGGCATTTTCTCAAATGAGTGTCCCTCCTTTCAGATGACTCCAGTTTGTGTGTCAAGTTGACGTGAGACCAGGAGCACAGTAGCCATCCCCTGGAGCAAGCTTGACCTAGCCAGGGCCGCACCCTTAAACAATCAGTTTCTTTCTCCCCTATCCTTGCATTGCCGATAGTTAGCAGATTTGGTGTCCAAGTCCCCTCTCCAGGTGGGAGTTTGTCTGACTTCTCTGTGGCTTATAAATGTTCCACTGTCTTTGTGCACCACGTTTTCTTTACCCATTCACCTGTTGGTGGGTGTCTAGGCTGAGTCCCCAAGTTAGCTGTTGTGAAGAACTTAGACACAGGTACGTAATCTGTAGTAACATGATCTCAGAAAGGGTGGGGGCACTGAACCGTTGGGTAGCAGTCCAGATGAAAAGGGCATGGCAGAAGGAAGATGGCTGCCTTTTACTTGTTTGGCCTTTCCTCTCTCTTTCCATGATCTGTTGACTTATCCTGTTGCTGCTGATTCTTTCACTGGTATAATGATGAGGCGAGCAGGCCTGCTTTTTGTCCCGCCCAGCTCCTGCATGGTTAGCTTTACACCCAAAATAACAACACACAAATTGTATTCATTTAAACACTGCCTGGCCCATTAGCTCTAGCCTCTTACTGGCTCACTCTTACATCTTGATTAGCCCATTTCTATTAATGTGTATCGCCACTGGACTGTGGCTTACCAGTATGAGTCTAACCACTGTCCATCTTGGGTAGGAGAAGCATGGCGTTTGCCTGACTCTGCTTCTTTCTCCCGGCATTCTGTTCTGTCTACTCTGCCTATATAAGCTGCTGTCCTATCAAAGGCCAAGGTAGTCTCTTTATTTGACCAATGAAAGTAACACATAGACAGAAGACCTACCTACATTACACCGGTATCAGAACTGTATTTTTAGGCTGGGTCAAGATGACTGAGGACCAGCAGTTCCCCAAGAACTTGCCAGGCTCTCTCTCTCTCTCTCTCTCTCTCTCTCTCTCGAATAGCCTGCCTCTGCCTCCTGAGTGCTGTGATTAAAGGCATGTTTCTTCTGCTTCACAGAAAGTCTATCAGAGATTTTAGGCCTGTTGGCTGCAGATGGATGCCACAGTATTGCAGAGGGATCTTGGGTGACTGTCTAGGCAGCCAGCTGTCTTTGTCATTTCTACAGTTTTGAAAGTTGCATGCTCTGCACTTCCTGTTTACTCAGATAATATTTTATCCTTCTTGGGTCTCTAATGGGGCGAAGATTCGATTGTTATATTATTTTATTTTTTTACTGAATTCAGAAAAGAAACTTAGGAGAAAGATGTAAAGTTTATAAGATTGAGAGATATAAAAGCTTAAGTTGTTTATATAAAAAAGTTTTGAGACTAAAAGATATATTTAAGTTGATAATACAAGTTATAACAGGAAGTGGTTTAGATATAAATCTTTGGACTCATCAAGATAGGATCAAGATAGCCTATCATCAAGATAGGATAATAATAAAGTACTTCTACAAATTTTCCAAATGCAAATGGACTGGACATTGTAAATGTAATTTACAATTACTTGATAATTGTTCTAATGTATATAGTTTTGCTGCATTAAAATTAAACCCTTTCCTTTTTATTTAG